CTGCTAAGCTGTCTAAGGGCAAACACCCCGGTCAGATCCTCCCTTGGTCTGAACGGAGATGCAGCGCCACGGTACACGATGGTTGAGAGATCACAGGGCACGGGAATGATGGGACGCGGATGTTTCAGCAGCAAAGTGTAAATCGTGAGTCTGACGGTCACTGCAGCTAGTCCTGAGCAACGAGAGTTTCCTTCTGCTCACTCAGAGTCTTTTTTTGATGAGTTTCTCCAGTTTCCGTATGCGAGAGGACTCCTGCTCAGGCGTAGGAGCGCTCAGCGAGAGGGAGCCGGCGTTCTCCGCTCCGGAGGGGGGAGCCGGGAGGCGCTGGCGGAAGAGGTCCAGCATGCTGCTTTGCTCGCTCCTCTTCAGGCCCTGAGGGAGCAAAAGCACAGCGGAGCAAGGTTAGACTTCCCGGATCTGTGAGCGGGGGTGCAGGAGAGCAGCTGCAGGGGGCCCATTTCAAACCTCAACCTTTTGTTCACCCTGCAGGAGCTGTATGTAGACCTGTGGGCGAACCAGAGACAACCGAGCCCAGCCCTGGAGCCAGAGCAGCTATAACCACGCTAAGCAAAATGAAAAGCTATTCTTCGGTAGCAATTCTACACATCTTCAGATTCCACAGGATACGCTTGTCTTCCAGCACTTTTCCTACTCCCAAAACAACCTGTCCCTACTCCCAAACCAATATGTATCCACTGAAAAGTCACCAACCAGCTCAACGCAGCGCTAACGGATGAAGAGAAACCGTGAGACTGGTTCTAACCTTCATGTCCAGTATCTTCTGGAACGTGTCTGTGCTGCAGTCTGCAAGGAGCTTGATGTAATTGTCGACAAACACAACCGGGGGCTCGTGCGGAGCCATAACCACCTGCCAAGACAAGAAAAAAAGAGATCAGGCAAGTTGTAGGAGTTAAAGCCAGCGCTCCGTCAACTCAGACACGGAGGTGATGGCAGGACTGGCTTCTCCTAGAATAAAATGCTTAAGGAGCAAGAGAGAGGCTGTACGTGCTGCTAGTAACTAGTAAGTGAACAGGAGTACCATAAGGAGCAGGGAGGAGGATGGGGTCTCTTTCTGCACAGCCACGGTGCTGGGACCCAAGGGCCTTCGAAGAGCAGCAGGACTTGGTCTCTACGCCTGTGGGCTGCCAGGCACTGGCGTATCGGTAAGCTCAAGATTTCACCTTGTTGCCTGGGGAAGACTGGCTGGGAGCTGCCGGAGGGGAAAGGCAGTGCTGGTAGTGGTGGGAACACCTAGAACATCCCCAGCCGATCAGAGATCAGGCTGCCTGGACACAGTCCAGGACCTCACTTCAGCTGCACATCCCCCTCGCTCCTGCCTGCCCGGCAACAGAGCAGAGACCACGGGACAGTGTGGGTCACAGCATCCTGCTCTGCAGCCCTCCTGCTTCCGAGATGTAACTCGATGGGTGAGCGGTGCCACACGAACCCGCTCTGTCCTCTGGCTGCGGCTCTGCTGGACAGACTGGGATGCCGTGTGCGAAACCCGCTGATGGCTGCCCTGAGCTCACCCCCTCTTAGTCTCAGCAACGGTCAAGTCAGGAAAAAAAACCTTAAAATAGCCTCAAAGCTGGAAAGATAATCACTCATTGTTATATTCTCCTGATATAAGCAGGGAGTTCCACAGAGAACACATCTCTGGATAATGCTGGGCAGCAAACCCACCCACCTTTCTGGGGAAGCGTGGTGAATGTGTGCCTGCATGCAGGGCAGAAACAGCGCAGGACCAGACTCTCCCGTCTCTGAAAACATTTCCATATGTTTCCACTGACCCAGCTCACCCCACACTGTATTCTGTCACCGAGACATTTCTTTCTTTCCCTGCGCTTCAGACCAATGAAACATCATAGCCATGTATTCACTTATAAATCCTTAATTTACAGCCCTTGTAAAAATCTTCTGCCAAGATGAAAAGCTGGAACTTCAGACAGCGGAGCCAGAGGAGAAAGGAAATGGCTCTGCGGGACGTGCGCACCCTGACGCCCTCCTCCCTGCTTCCATCTGCCCTTTGTAGGGCTTAGTTGAATGGATCTGTGCCATCTACGGGCTCGATGATACTCCTACGGAATCAGCGGCACTGGTGTAAGCCCGGGCACGTTACTGTCTGGTGGCATTGCTGTGTGCAACAGGGGCGTCACTTCTGAACCCTCTCGGTACTAGGTAGGAGAGCCCTGAAAGCAGGAGGAGGCGTGTACTGTCTGTGCTTCTGACAGGGTGAAACAGCTCTTAGAGAAAAGACTCTTTAACGTACAGTTTGGAAACCGCAGAGAGTCTGAGCACGATAAGGAGAGACAACCCACAAGGCAAACAGGATGTCCAGAGACGACCAGTCAGCTCTGGTGTCACCCTCCCACCGAAATACCAATGGGCTAGCAGGAGCAGGCACTTCCAAGAGCCTTTTTAGCTCTCCCAAACCCGAGATGGGTGCTGACACTGGGCCCAAACGCTGTGTGTGGGTTACCTAGGCTCAGGGTGATCTACTCCATCACTACGATGAACAGACCTGCCCCAGCCAACCGGTCAACCCGCCAATTACACGGGTGTTCCTGCGTCAAACAGCCCTGTAGAAGCGTAGCGCTGCGTAATTACTGGTTATGCTGACACTCAGCCCTCGCCCGGGGCCGGGAGAAGTGCTTTATGCAGCAGGACAAGCACGGGATGTGTGAAAACACAGTCCTGCCATGACCCTGCAGCCCTCCCGGCCCGCCGCGCTTCCTACGCCGCTTTCATCTCGGCCCCGCTGAAGCCAGTGTGACGTTAAGGGCAGACAAGTTACCTCCGTTACTTTTCCGATCCACACATAAGCTCCAAGGGCACCAATCTTCCCCCCTCCTCTGTCAGCAGTACCAGGGGATTTTTCCCCAGGTCGCGTCTGAGAAAATTTGGACTTGCTTTAATGCATCTACGAACATCTCAGTCACTTTACTCCAAACAGGGAGTACCCTCCCCTGCGGGGAGTACCCTAGAGTTCTGCAACCCTACTCTGCATGGGGCTGCAGAACTCATTTCTGAATTCGGAATGCAAACTCGGCCATGGCTCTACCTTGGGCATGGGAGCAACGCCACAGGCAAGCACGGAGAGCTCGGGCTCCCCACGCCCTCCTCGCCTCGGCGGCGGTTTACAAGGGGCTCTGGCTGGCAGCTGCCCATCCTACCTGACCCCAGGTCCCACAAATTCACTCACAGGAACATCTTCCCAGTGCTGTCAGTGAAGAAGGGGACAATCCCACTGCCCAGGAGGGTACAACTGCACAGCTCCCATGGCTTCTCCTGGGATCCAACCGAACTTCTTACTCCAGCAACAGCGGGGAAGGGGAGATTGCCTTGCTTGTTAATTTTTTATGAAGACAACACACTGCTTTTGGGTCATTTTCCAGGCACCAGGTCTGGAAAATGCAAAAGGACTCTGGTGAATACAGTATCCCAGACATGTTTGCACTGGCTGTTCCACTAGACAGTAAACAGGTGACTCAAGCACGGCTTGGCTCCCCTGCGTGACCGAGTCTGCACAAAGGCCTGGAGTAACCTGAACTGGAGGGTCTGCCCTGCGGCAGACACTTACGGATGCTAGCTCTGATTTTCACAAGCTCCTGAGGGAACCCGGTGCCCCAGCTCTCCTAGAGTAAGCAGAACCTGAGCCCTCGGTTACCTTGAAAAATGAGGATGAAAACTCAAAAAAGCGATGTTAAAAGAGCGTGGGGGCAATAAGGCGAGTAAGCCAGCTCTGCAGAACAGCTGGCAGCACACCCGGACAAGCTCGCATACGTTCGTGTGCAATCGCAGATGGCCGCCTTCAAAGGAAGGGCCCCCTGGAATTCGCTTGCTCCGATTCCCAGTCCAGCAGTCTGGCTGGCAGGTTATCAAAAGTCTTGAGTTACCTTCAGGATCATTTCAGCCCGAGTCATGCCTTTCACCACTATCTTGGTGTAGCTGGCAGGAGCCTTCCTCACCACTTGGGACCCAATGGAGGGCAGATCCAGGAGAACCATCTTCAGAGAGTGAGTGTCCAGCAGCAGCTGCAACAGCGAATCGCACCCTGTTAGTCAGGTCCCTCTCACCGAGCGGCACCAGCCGCTATAATCCAGCACGCTCCAACGTTTAACTCTTCCCACGTTTGAAAAAACCCTGGTAATCGGACTGTAGGGACAGGAGGGATTGACCTGCATAACTACACTTCAAGGAGACGCAGTCACCCGTGGGTACGCATCGGCACCGCTCGTTGATTTTAACGAGCGCGGCTCTGCTGACTTGACATGACTTAGGGCAGCGCAGCCCAACCAAGGCCAGGCTTCCTCCTGCACCCAACCGCCCGCGCTGGCAGGTTTTCTGCATTTACCACTCGGGTTTTTTATTTCTTTTACAAAGAAAAATATGGCACAATGCAGTTAAGGCTGCAAGAATTGGGCTAAGGCTGCAAGAACTGGGCTTGTTCAGCCTGGAGAAGAGGAGGCTCCGAGGAGACCTCATTGCAGCTTTCCAGTACCTGAAGGGGCTACAAGGGTGCTGGGAGAGGACTTTTTACAAGAGCCTGTAGTGACAGGACAAGGGGTAATGGGTACAAATTGAGAACAGGGAGGTCTAGATTAGATAATCAGGAAGAAATTCTTCACTAAGAGGGTGGGGAGGGACTGGGGCAGGAT